GTATACCATGCACCGCTAGACATACAAACGTATGCATTATGTAGACATGTCATTCTCATATCCACCTCCAATCTCTATATATGTAGACAAACATTAGCCGATCCCAACGGCGAGAGGAAGACGCTGTTCTGCTGGGGTCATCGTCGTCGTCGGCGTCCTTGTCGACGTCCTTGTCGTCGTCCTTTTCGTCGTCGCCGTCGCGTTTGAATCCCCTTTCCCTGGGCCCGCCGCCGCCCCCCCTTGATTCGGGCCCTCCTCCTCAAGCGAGCGAGCCAGAGCGAAACCGAAGCGAAGTTCGGCAACGCCGCAATTGAGGCGAAGAGAAACCCCTTCCCTTTGACCCCCTTCCCCCGAACCGTCTGCGCGCGCCGGGCGCAGGGCCTAGATTGCCGATTGCTGCAGCGCCGTCTGCCCGTAAATGCCTCGATCCACGGCCGCTTGTGTCGTTTGCGCTGTGCTTCCGCGACCTGCTGGGCTCAAGCCCGTTGCTGAATTTCACTGGTGCCAATCGTGCGCGCGCCGCTGGTCTGGCGTTTGCACCGTCACCGCTGGCCGCGCGAACTCCGGCCGGACGCCCAGAGGCGCAGTCTGCAGCTTCACCAGTCTTGGCCAGCATTGTCTACCAGGTGGCGGCTGTCGAGCCGCCTGGACCGCCGGCGACAGCATCATGCGCCAGCTTAGTTTCCGCCCAAGCTGCTAACGCAAGGGACTTTTTCGGCGTCGCCCCTTGCGAGGCTCAACTCATCTGGGAACCGCTGGCTGGGTGCACGCGTGAATTCCTGCTTAGATTTAGGTCGGGCATGTCTCCCTACAAGTGGATTTTGGACGAACCATAAAACATAGTACAAAAAACAATCCAAACATACTCCAAATGTTCACACATATTTTTGTATAAAAAAGTCCCCGACTAATTTTTTGACTATTTTTGAAGATTCCTACTGTAAATGGACAGGCCCGACTGAGGGTTAGATTCCTGCAGCCGTGCGAGCCCGAGCAGAGGCAGCCCCAGCGCGGGCAGCGGACCTCGATGTGGCCGCGGGGGCCTCTGAGCAGACCCAGGCGCTGCTGGCGGCACCCCGGCTTCGGACTCTGCCCAGGGGCGGACGGCAAACGACGAGTCCGCGCGGAGGGGGCATGGCAGCCCTGGCTCTTGTCGCAGGTTCTTACCAGTTTGGAACATATCCCTATCCTTATGTTTGACATCACCTCACCTCGATACCGATCTTAAGGATCCCCTCAGTTTCTGAGGGCCTATCCCTAAGATTGTCCTCGCTTTTTGCTCGCCCATCTGAAGGATAGGGATAAGATCGAGGCTGGTCAGGTTCGCGGCGCCGGCAGGAGGTGATCGCGCCCGCAGTTGCTCGCTGCTGCGGTCCGCGGCATGGCCAAGCTGTCAGATGCGGAACCCGCGGGCGCGTCGAGAGTCGTGCGGGGAGCGGAGGAAGCAGCACACCAGCGGCCCAGAATCTGGGCGTCTGTCTCACAGCCGCGCGACTTGGCTCTGTGGGCGTCGCGCGCTGAGCGTCGCGATCTTGCTCTGTCATGGGCGGTGTCGCGGCATTTCTGCTTGAGGCATTCATCGGAAACGCTGGTGCTGGGCTCAGATAAGGCCCTTTGTCTGATTCACCAGCAGCGGTGCGAACAGCCAATGCGTCATCACATTTGCTCAGAAAGTGCTACCGCACACTCGTGGCGGCGATGTGAAGCTGCGCATGCTCAGGTGAACAGGGGATCTTGTGCGGGGCATGCGCTTTGAAAGAAGCGTGCGGAGTTCACACAGCGCCTTTCGGCAGCACTTTGTATAGCGATGCGCTGGCGCTCCTGACAGCAGGTGCAGTGGCATTTGAATTCCAAGGGCCGCGGCACTGGGGAGGAGGAGGAGGAGGAGGAGGAGGAGGAGGAGGAGGAGGAGGAGGAGGACGAGGAGGATGGCGTGGGAGTTGCGGCGCTGTCCGGCTGGAGCGGGCGCGCCGCGCTCGGGCACGCCGCGGCGCAGGTCCCGAGGCGACGTGGCCGCGGCAGCGTGGCTCGCGGAGGAGTCGGCGCCGAACCGCAGCGAGAGTGGCTGGGCACGCTCGCATGCAGTGGGCGCTGCTACAAGGGCCCTGGGACACACAAATAAATAGGCACGAGTTAAGTCCCGATGTTTTCCTAGCTGTTTGGTTGGATGCTCGGCTTTCTCCCGCCACTCCGCATGTTTTCCAACAGCGTCCTGGGAATCGACGATTCCTTGTCTCTGTGTTTTTGCTCCCTCCTGAGCTTCCGTAAAGCACTGTGTCCGAGACGTGCCCTCGCTCTCGTCATGCCTGTCGGCTCGGTGCCGCCCGTCTCGTTCTCCTTGGCGCGGAAGGCCCGTGGAGTGTTCCAATCGGGACCAGCCTGGCTGCGCCATGTTGAAGGGGCCCCAGAACACACAAATAAATACACACAAATAAAACTATTCCCCATATTTTCTAATATTTTCTGGATTTTTGTCTTCCCCACCATTTCCAATATTTTCCTATATTTTCTGGGAATCGCCGATTAATTGTGTCTGTGTGTTTTTTCCCCTCCTGAATCTCTCCTGCCCAACGCGGGCGCGGGGACGCCGACCCGCGCCTTCTGCGCAGGATCCCACGCAGAGAACGCCATCGCCCCCAAGTCGCGTATCGGTTCGGGGGGGGGGCAGGGAAACCTCGGGCGAGGAACCCGCGTGGTCTCTTCGCCTCTCGGCCTCACTAGGGGGCCACATGCGAACCCTACCCCTACCCCCCACGACTTCTGAGGGGGAGGGTGGGGCTCACTTCGCTCGGGAGCTCCCGAACGAAGCGAACTCCCCCCCCCCCAGAAATCGTGGGGGGCAGGGGGTAGGGTTCGCATGTGGCCCCCTACTCATTGGCCTCGTGGGTCGTCTCGCCGCCTGGCCGTGCCTTCGCGGCGCGGCGGGCTGTGGCGTCCGCTTCCGCTCACGGCCGGTGACCGCGCGCGGCTGGCGGAGCTCGGCGTGGGGATGCCACATTCGCCTCCTTCCGGGGATGGACAGACCTGCCTTCAGTAAAACGTGGCTTAGTGAAAAAACGACCTCGGGCCCAAACCTGGCGGGCGAGACTGGAAAATGACGGCCGCGGCGCCCTCTCGAGAGCCGAAACAGGACAATTCACTAGGTAGAAGGTCTGTCCACCCCCGATCCTTCTCGTGGCTCTCTCGATTTGAAGGCGCCCCAGGACACACAAATAAATACACACAAATAAAACAATTCCCCATATTTTCCCATATTTTCTGGGTTTTTGTCTTCCCCCCCACTTCCCATATTTTCCCATATTTTCCTGGGAATCGACGATTAATTGTGTCTGTGTGTTTTTTCCTCTCCTGACGATTGGCTGCTCGGCTTGTCCTGGGAGCGCGCGTGCGCGAGGGGTGGCTGCGCCTCGCGTGCTGCGGCCGGGCCTCCGGGGGCGTTGCCGCGGCGCCCCTGGCCCCACGGGCTGGTGCCCTCGTCCCTGTGGGACCCGCTGGACGGGTACACCCTGCGAAATGCTTAAGAAATCATGGGTTAAGAAATTCATAGTCTCAGAATCTGAATAAAAACCCAGAATGTCTATTCAAATCTTGGAATTTACATTGAAACGTTAAGAATAATCGAGACTCTGGCCGAAAACTTGGGTTTTCTTAAGCATCGCCTAAGGTGTACGCTCCAAGCGCCGGCCGCTGTCCCCTACATTCAAAAACCCTAAGAAGGACGCGCGACTTTGCTCAGGGTGCCCTTGCGTCCTTGCTCTTCCTTGCTCTTGCGTCCTTGGGGTTTTCGTCGTCCGCCGCCCCAAAAAAATCCCAACTTCGGTTTCCAAGGGTCTTGCGTCCTTACCGCGCGTCCTTATTAGGGGTTTTTGACTGTAATACCCGCAGGACGGCTTCTTCTCCCGCAGGCCGGGGCCCCTCACCCGCAGGACGGGAAACGCCGGTGCCCTGGGCGCCTTCCGCAGGAGGGGAAGGCCTCAAACGCCGGTCATCGCCTCCATGACCCGCGGGACGGGTTGTTCTCCCGCAGGCCGGGACCCTACGCCCGCAGGACGGGCAGTGTCGTGCGCTCGCTGCTGAAGAAAGAACCCGCCCGCAGTCGCCCTGGTTCTGCTGCGCAGTCGCTGTGGGTCGGCGTCCCTGCCAGGCTGGGCCCTCGGAGTGTTCCAGTCGGCACCAGCCTGGCGACGCCGTGTCTCTCCTGGCCACATGCGAATGCGGGCGCGGGTACGCCAACCCGAGCCTTCTGTGCAAGGTCGAACGCAAGAGTTTGCCCTCCGCCGGCTTCCGCCGAGAAAGAGAGATGGCAACTCTTTCGGCCCTCGAAGGCGATGGTCTTTCTTATGGAAGCCGCACATCGCTCGAGTAGCCTTTGTTCGAACAGGGCCCCCCTGCCTTTTCAACGACAGGGGGCCAAATAGACTGTAGGCTCCTGGCGGCCTGGCCCCTGGGCTGATCCTCGGCACGGGCCCAATTCCCCGCGCGGACCTCGAACTGATCTTTCCGTTGCCTTGCTCTGCATCCATCCGCATTGCTACTGTTGCCTCGCTGTGCTTTGCGCCACGTCGCTTTGCATCACGCTGCGCTATATGGCATCGCGTACATTTGGTCCTCCTTTGTTCCGAGACGCCTTACGCTGCACTATTGCGCTGGCTCTGCGCTGGCTTTTCGTTGCGCTGCCTTGACCGATTGCTTTGCAGTGCACAGTTTTGACCTGCTTAGCATTACCTTTTCTTGGCGCTGCATTCAATCGCGCTGCTACGCAAGCTAGCGAAAAGCAAGCATCACTGCAATTGAACCACTGCTCTGCGACACAAAACAAGCCGAAGCAGCCCAGTGCACCAGCAAGAGCAGAGCAAAGCAGAGCAGAGCAGAGCACGGCAACACAGGCAGCGTAACGCAAAACAACGTACCGAAATCGTGATGTACTGCCCTGCCCTGCGCTGCAACGCAGAATAGACCGGAACAGACGAGGAGGAGGCGAGCAAATCCTCCCCTCGCACCGCGAGCGCGGTGCACCGCCCGATGTAGCCGTCCAACGACTCGTCGAGGAAATTGCCATTGCCTCCGGCCGCTTCCGGCTTGCCGCTCATACACTTCCAAAACTGATCCTGCGTTCCCCATCGGCGGCTCATCCATTCCATGTCCTTATCACAAACTCCTCCCTGTCGCACCCCGAGGCCAGTCGGAAGGGCGGGAAGGGCGTTTCGCGTTGGGCCTCCTTGCCCTTAATGACCCTGGATTTCTAGAGTTAGCAACAGTTTCGCAGATAGAGGGCGGGCCGCTTCCAACATGTGGTTCGCGCTTTGGCGCCGCGCACACTCGTTGTAAGGATTTACATGGACGGACTTCACGGATTGAGGGGGGGCCGCTTTCAAAATGCGGCTCTCGCCTTGGCAAGCACTTCATCTTACCAAATTGAGAGGAGCTTCGCAGATTGGGGGCGGGTCGCTTCCAAAATGTGGCTCCCGCCTCGGCGCCGCGCACGCTCGTTGTAAGGATTTACGTGGGTTTCACGGATTGAGGGCGGGCCGCTTTCAAGATGCGGCTCTCGCCTTGGCAAGCACTGCATCTTAACCAATTGCAAGGGACTTCGCAGATTGGGGGCGGGTCGCTTCCAAAATGTGGCTCTCGCCTTGGCGCTGCGCACGCTCGTTGTAAGGATTTACATGAACTTCACGGATTGAGGGCGGGCCGCTTTCAAAATGCGTCCTTCGACTTGGCAGTCACTTCATTTTAAAAAGTGGCAAGGAACTTCGCAGATTGAGGGCAGCTCCTTTTCAGAATGTGGCTCTGGGCCTAGCGCCGCGCAGACCCGTCTGGAAGCACTGCAAACAATTCACGGACTCTCATGGTTCACGCAACAGAGATAACGCGTTGGAGCGAGTCGAGATTGCCAGAGCGCAACAATTACGTTGAGTATCGGTGTCGAAGTCTTGAGATCAGCATTCTGGCGCGATTCAGGATCGCCAAAGCGCAACACTTCGGTTGACTAGAGGCGTTGAAATCCCGAGAACGGTGGTTTGGCTCGCTTCAAACTTTTCTAACGATTGTCTCCCAACGGGGCAATTCCCTCAGTGGAAGAACTTCCGTGTAGGAGCATCTGAAGAGAGGGTTTGGAAGGAGGGTGTACTCCAACATCGTCGATAGGTCTTGGGTGTACACTGGTCCTCCTCCTCCTCGTCCTCTTCTTCCTCCTCCTTCTCTTCTAGGCAGGGAAATCGCTTCTCCCTCTCCGGAGGAACACCCACCCGCTTCAGAGTCGCTAGGGCCAGTTCGCCTGGCGTGCAAGTTCGCGCACGAACCTTTCGAATGGATGCAATCCGAGCTAACGCTGGGGAGGGCGAGCGGGATGGGGGGAGGAGCAGGATGAGTAAGAGGCGAGAAAGCGGGAGCGAGCGAGGGAGCGGAATGGACACTCCGGGTGGGGGAGAATAACGGGGAGGGGGACGAGGATGGGGGAGTCTGCCGGTTTCGCAGGACAAATCTCCGCGTGGTCATGAAGCGGGCTGAAGGCGTAACGTGACTTTCGTCGTCGTCACCGCCACCGTCGTCGTCGTCATCGATCGGCGTCTTCGGGTGATTATGGGTGACTTGGGGCGCTAAGGAGGGCTCTGAAGACAGGAAGGACTGCAATACTATTTTGCATGTGGGCTACATCCAGACTTCTCCACATCCGTCAATAATGGACGCTTATGCGAAACTGGCCCCTGTGCCTATAAGCGCAGGGGATGGATCGAGCGCCTTACTTTCGGAGGGAGGGATGGACTGAGAGAGGGAGGGCTCCAGGGAGGAAGGATGGCAACGGGGGGGGGGCAAGGGAGGGAGGGTACGCGGGCTGGGGAGGGCATCGGAACCAGCGGAGCGGGCGGGATGGGAGGAAGCGCTATGGGGTGGTAAAAAGAAGAAGCCGTGGTCCGTGGGCCACCTTAAGCCCCAGAGGCCGGCTAGAAATCAAACCAAACAGGCCCCCGAGAGCCTGAAAGAGCAACCAGAGGGGCACGCCGCCATCACTGGAATAACAAAAATCGACACAATGAACATAGTGTCTCGGAGGTCCGCGAGCATTTCTTGGAGCGGCGCTGGACCACCCTCCCTTGCTCCCAGCCCTGTCGACCCCTTCCGAGAAAGACAAACACTTCATACATCAGAGTTGGGGGGCCGAGCGGTCCTTCATTGTCCCTGGGTGCGCGGCTGAAGTGAAAGTCCGTGTTTCCGATTATGTTTGCTGTTGTTGAATACTCATTCCTAAAGAACAATTATTGCCGATCTCCAGCAACGGTTCCGCGCGCTCTCGCCTCGACGCCGGCTACATGTTCTCTGAAAACGAGGCTCCCGCTCGAGCGTTTGCTTGAGCCTAAGTGTGGGCCTTTGGAGGCCCAGCTACGACAACAACGGCTCCCGCTCGATACTTCCTCACAATTTACCTCGAGACACCCTGGCCAGAGATGCCCCCGAACTCAGGAACGGCGCTCTCGTTCGAGATTTCCTTGAACCTCAATCAAGTCGGCAGAGGCCCAGCCACGACGACAAGGGCTCCTGCTCGATACTTCCTCACGATGTACTCCGACAGTCCTTGGCCAAGAAGGCTCCCGAACTCAGGAACGGCGCTCTCGCTCGAGACTTTCCCGTAAGTCGGGCAAGTTGGTGGAGGCCCGGACACGGCGACAGGGGTTCCCGTCCGATATTTCTCAATAGGTATTCCGAAAACCCCCGGCCAGAGATGCCCCCGAACTCAGGAACGGCGCTCTCCCTCGAGACTTCTTCGCACTTCAGTCAGTGGCCGACAAGGAAGAGATTCCCCCCGAAAAGGGGCGCACTCGAAGACGAAGTGGGCGGGCATCGAGGGTTGGGGTATACGGAATGCAAGACACGAGTGCCAGTAAGAGCGAACAGTCTTAAAATTATTATTGTTGTTGTTGTTGTTGTTGCTGGCGTTGTTGAACTCTCACTTCTGAAGAATAATCATTGCTGATCCCCCCCTCACCGGTGCATGCTGTTTTTCTCAATCAAAGTGTGCCCCTCGACGCTCGCACCCTGTTTTTGAAAGGGAAAATCTTCGTGCTCATACTGGGCCCCTGGCACCCCAGATTGCAACAAGAACGGTTCTCGCCTGAGACTTCCGAAAAAAATTGCTCAGGACCCCCGCTCCTTAGACTACCTGACAATTTACTCAGGATCGGTGCTCCCGCCTGTGACTCCCTCGCAATTTAGTCAGGGCCCCCGCTCCCATCTGAGACTTCCTCGCAATTGAATCAAGACTTCCTCGCAACTTAATCAAGACCCCCGCTCCCGCCAGAGAACCCTCTCACATTTTATTCAGGAGTTGCGCTCTCGCCTGTGACGTCCGTGCGATGTATTCAGAAATCGCGCTGTCGACGCTCAGGAAACACGCTGCGCCAAGCCGTTACAAATTACTTAATATTCGCGGCGCTCTCGCCATACTCAGGCATACCGCTTGAATGTCCCACCCGCCCGCCAGGGGATCGCCCGCCCGTCGTGGGCTCCCGCCCGGGACTTCCTTCAGGAATGGCGTTTTCGCCTAGGACTTCCTCGAACGTTTACGCTCTTACCTTCCTGATCCTCCTCCCTCCTCCCTCCCTCCTCCCTCCTCTCCTCCCTTCTCTCTCCCTCCTCTCTTCCTTCATCCTTATGCCTCTGTGCCCTATCCCCTCTCCCTCCTCTCCCTCCTGCCTCCTCCATCCCTCTTTCTTTCGCTCTCTCCCTTCTCTCTCTCTCACGTTCTCTACCTCTCTTATATGTTGTGGTTCCTCTCTCTCTCTCCTTCTCTCTGCCTGTAATCAACCGTTCCCCTCTTCGCTCCTTCTCTCCTGGCATGTTCATTCATCATTCGTCTCTCCCCCTCCCTTCCTCCCACTCTCCCTCGTTCTCCCTCTCCTCTTTTTGCAGGGCCCACACCAAGTCCAATCGCGGGCGCATGTACGCCCACGACGGATTGTCCGCCCGTTCAGGTTTGCCCGTCTGTCTAAGCCCGCCGCCCCCCGCAAAGAGAAATAATTCCTCCAAAAGGGGAAAAGGGGTGTGATCGAAGACAAAAAGGCGGGTATCGAGGGTGTGAGGAACTCGTTTTGAATGACGCACGGGCTAGTAAGAGCGAACAAGATTATAATGATTGTTGTTGGTGTTGCTCTTGTTGTTGTTGTGGTTGTTGTTGTTTGTTGTCGGCCCTCCCCCCGCGACACACCCGCGACGCAACCCGCGACCCACCCCGCGACCCACCCGCGACCCACCCGCGACCCACCCGCGACCCACCCCCGACCCACCCCGCGACCCACCCGCGACCCACCCCGCGATCCACCCGCGACCCACCCGCGACCCACCCGCGACCCACCACGCGACCCACCACGCGACCCACCCGCGACCCACCCCGCGACCCATCCGCGACCCACCCGCGACACACCCGCCACCCACTTGCGACCCACCACGCGACCCACAAAGCGACCCACCCGCGACCCACCCGCGACCGATGTACACTGGTTTGAAGAAAAAATCGGCGCCTGCGGCGGGCTCGTTGTACAATTTGTGGAACTGTGGCGCCTGCGGCGGGCTTCTCTATAATCTCGCAGACTGTCGACGTCCCCACCGCGCCCTCACTCTTATCCGCATCTGCGGGGTGCTACGTACGTAGCACCCAGCAGACGGTTTCTCGGCTGGACGATGGCCTCTGGACGCCCAAACTGGGAAACATGTAGCCTGTCCCAGGTCGGACATTGACAGGACTAGGTTTACAGTGGGGGCCCGACCACAGGAAACCTTCCACAAGAAATCCAACCCTGAGACCCCAGGACGTTTATTTTTGTTGTGGGAACGTCACGCCTTCCATGGCCAAACCTTCGAAACCCAAGAAAACCAGGGGACCCGGGAGGCAAGCAGGGTGTTTCTTGGCATGGGCCTCCGCAGTAGTGGGACCTTCTTAAGCGACGCCTGTCGGGGGGCGCCTCCCCCGCCCCATTCCCCCGAGCGGAACTGCCGCCCCCGGAAGACTCACCACCAGCGGCAGTCCTCTTCTAGCGACTCTGGTACATCTTCGGGCTTCCGGGCCCGATCCCTAACCAACTCCCCTTTCCAGGGGTCCTGGCTACATCCGGCCGGGAGCCCCGAACGCCACCATTGACCACCCACCAAACCACCCCAACCCAACCCGAAGCTCTTGATTTGCCCTCCATTTCCGGTGGGGGGGGAGGGTCGGGGAACATCGAAAAAACACGTGGAACCCGTACCCCCCCAAACCCGAAATTCGGGTCAAATTCGGGTCTTCGGGTTGGTTGGGGTGGTTTGGTAGGTAGTCAACCATGAGGGCTTCTCCTGGAGGGCCGATCTTTATACCTCCCGCCGGCCTCCGCGGGCAGCGCCCGAGAAGCCCCACGGGGGTCTCCAGAGCGTCAGCGCCGTCGTCGATGTCGCCGCCGCCGTCATCGTCGTCGCCGTTCAGGGTCGGGGAGGGGAGGGGGAGGAGGAGGAGGAGGAGGAGGGGGAGGAGGAGGAGGAGGAGGAGGGAGGAGGAGGAGGAGGAGGGGGAGGAGGAGGGGGAGGAGGGGGAGAGGAGGAGGGGAGGAGGAGGGAGGAGGAGGAGGAGGAGGAGGAGGAGGAGGAGGAGGAGGAGGAGGGGGAGGAGGAGGAGGAGGAGGAGGAGGGAGGAGGAGGGGGAAGGGGAGGAGGAGGAGGAGGAGGAGGAGGAGGAGGAGGAGGATCGCAAGTACCGCTATTGCCATACAGCCTGTATCAACAGGCTACTTTGCACTGCCGCTATACAGGCCAGCCTCACTGGCAAGCGTTGAGCAAGCGACAGGGAGGGTTACCACGGAGGAGGTGTGGGGATTGGAGAGGACCCTACGTCAGCCACTACATCTTGGCGGCGCAACGCCATGTTTTACTGTCAATGCCCAGCAGACCTGCATGAGTACGCCACCTCTTTTACTTTTGCTGCTCGCGCACTTGCAGGTAAGACCATACGACGGGATAGGCAATAGAGGGAGGTATGGGGATTGGGAAGGACCCTACGTCAGCCACTGCACCTAGGCGGCGCAACACCACGCTTTTACCGTCAGTGCCCAGCAGACCTGCTTAAGAACTCCACCCTTTTCCTTTTGCTGCTCGCGCACTTGCAGGTATGACTAGACGAAAGGATAGGCTATGTGTTGGAGGATTTAATGGGAAGGTGGAGCGGATTTGCATACGGTTTGGAATCAACCTTAACCCTGGGCAGCAACCCTAGAACTGCCACGGTCACGGCGTCGCTCCTTGCGCTCTGCTTCCTGCTCTTGCCCTGCGGGGAGGCACTGCCTATAAAACATCGGGGGCTCAGTCTTACCTATATTTCTGGACGCTGAGAAGCAAACGAAAGTGAGCATACGAGAAACACGAAAGTGCGCAAACAAACAATACATCAAAGCATAATATAGAAAAAACTGTAAGATCTATTGAGACTGAGAAAGACAGACCGAGACAGAGAGACAGGAACAGAGAGACAATGGTCCGATCTTTAAAAAAACATGCCTTTTTCGCATTCCGAGGGTTGGGAGGTGCAGAACCCCAGGAGCGCTGCAACAGCTGCTGCAGCCGTTGCAGAGCCGCCAGGGGGATGCGCTTAAAATTTGAAATTCAATTTTTTATTAGGGCTTTTGGATTACTGGGAGTACCTGTTACTAAAGGTAGTGCCTACCTCGAGGACCTGGCGGGCGTCTACTCTTCATGATATTCTCGGCCTCGTCTGCTATAAGTTCATCTTCCGCGGCGCCCGCCAGGTACATCTTCGACCCGAGTCGCACTAGATCTGTTCTTTCAAGGACGCCACAATCGTGGGACTCAGGCTTGGTGAAGAAAGGAGGAGGAGGCGGAGGAGGAGGAGGCGGAGGAGGAGGAGGGGCAGGAGGAGGAGGCGGAGGAGGCGGAGGAGGAGGAGGAGGAGGCGGAGGAGGAGGAGGAGGAGGAGGAGCAGCCCCTGGCCGCACGGCCTTCGCAGTATCGGACCGGGAGCCCAGAAACCCACTGGGAGGGCTTCTCTTGGAGGGCCGACCTTTACCTCCCCAGGCATCCGCGGGCGGACCCGCCCCCGCTTCCCCTGATGGGCTTGTTTTCCACCACCACCACCATAAGTTGGAGGGGGAGGGGGGTCCTCCTCCTCCTCCTCCTCCTCCTCCTCCTCTTCCTCCTACTTATGGTGGTGGTGGTGGAAAACAAGCCCATCATCCCCCCCACGAGCTTCCGCTGGGCCTCCCGGGGCGGCGGAGACGGCAGCCCCTATCGATCGATCCGAGCCCCAACCCCCCCCGGGCAGCGAAGAAATCATGACGGGAGGCTTTTCCACACTCTCGGCTTCTCGGGGCCCTTCCCGGCCCTCGGGGCCGTCAAAAGACGACTCAGGACCGGAAACCGGTCCGGGGGAATCGGTCGAGACCTCTCGGAGTCGACGTTACGAGAAAATCATGACGTCGGGGGTCTGGGTCCTGGGACTGGTCCTGTGGGTACCGATCGTGTCGAGACTGCGCAATAATTATAAGTGCACGGCGCGGCGACAGCTGCGGATGTGCAGCGGCGCGGCTGACTCAGCAGCTGCTCGTGGTTGCGTGTGCGCTGTGCACTGTTCGCTGCTTGAGGGGCTCCTGAATGTGCACTTTTGAGCAGGGACCGACCGTCCCGGCATTCCTATAGTCATACCACGAAATGTTTTTAGAACCCAATTATTTTCTAATATCAAAAACAATAGTCTTAGAACAAATTCCCGATGTGCTAAAACAAGACAGTCCCAGCCAGAAATGTTCTCAGAACATTTCCTGGAAACCACAACAGGTTCTTAGAACATTGTTTGGTAGGGCTATAGGCGAGCCAGGACGCTTCGCCACTGCTTGACAGCTGCTTGTGTTTGCGTGTGCGCTGTGCACTGTGCGCTGCTTGAGCGGCTCCTGAGTTGTGCACTTGCACTTGAAGGGGCCCCAGGACACACACAATTGAATACACACAAATAAACTATTCCCCCACATCTTCTTATATTTTGGGGGCTTTCGCCTCCCCCCCCACTTCCCATACTTTCCCATATGTTCTGGGGAATCGACGATTAATTGTTGTGTCTGTGTGTTTTTTCCTCTCCTGGTAGAGAGATCTGTGCGCGCGGGCCGCGGGCGCCTATGAACGACCAGCAGTCCCACGCGTTCACCACCAGCGCCCTCGGCAGCCGGCCGCCCAGCTCGCCCCGCAGGGGGTCGGGGAAGAAGCCGTACACCTGGGGGGAGCCGGGGGCGTCCACCGGGGGCGCGCAGACGTGGATTATTAGATGCTCATTTCGGGTCGGGCGAAAGGGGGGGATAGCAAAGGGGGGGTTTGAGAATCAGCTCACGTAGCTGATTTTCCCGGCGCCTCCCGGCGCCAGAGGCGCCCATGTATCGAGGAATGGGCCCCTCGGTGAGGCCGAAACCAGCTGCATGCAGCAGATTTCGTAACCCCCCCTTTCCCAATCCCCCCCTTTCGCCCGGCCCGAGGGAAGCCGGGGGCGTCCATCGGGGGCGCGCAGACATGGATGATTAGATGCTCATTCTGGGGACCTTCCTGGGAGCCACTCGCTCCACTCGTGCGTCGAAGCTGCGTCGAAGCTGCGTCGAACCTGAGTCGAACATGCGTCGAACCTGAGTCGAATCTGAGTCGAACCTGAGTCGAACCTGAATCGAACTTGAGTCGAATCTGAGTCGAACAGATCCATTAGGTGGGCCCCATGGACTTGGCGCGCGGTCGCCAAAGCCGTGGATCGGGGGAGGTGCCCGCCCGAACATGCGGCCGGTGCCGCCTCGTTCGGCTGCGGAGATCCGCGGTTTCTCCTGGGAACGGCACCCGTCGCTGATCCACGCCCCCTTATAATCCCTGGGTGCGATATCGAAGAGGAGGGCGACCAAGAGAAGGGCGTCCAGGAGGTGGGGGTCGCCAGTCGTGGCCCGTGGCGCGCGCGGCCCATGGGGGCCAAGGGGCGCAAGGAGAGGGGCCAGGAGATCCGAGAATACGTCGTGGCCCCGGCCATGCTACCGTCGGGGCGTTGACCTAAGGAACCCTGAATAAGGAACGAGGCCCCTTTTTTCCATAAGTTAAACGCAGGAAAACCTGAGACAAGCTGCGAAACACTTAAGAAACGCGGAGCCCCTCCCCAACCAAAAGGGTTCCTTCTTCAGGGCCCCACCTGTACCAATCCACATTAAAATTGTATAGAGGGCAGCCGGCCGCGCGAAGCCGTTTAGCAAACGCGTCCAACGCAGGAACCAAACAGTGAGCAGGGCTGTTCAGCAAACGCCCAAGGCCGTTTCGTAAACGCCAAGTGTCCGGTCCGGGTGGTTCTTCCTCCCTCGATTGTAATTATCACCCCCGAGGGGGGCGCGGGTGAACCCAGGCTTGGGTCAGGCATGCCCCCCCCGCTGGCGGATTTTGGACGAAATACTAAAAATCATGAAACAATGCTCCAAACTAGTCAAGGCATGCTCCAAACTAGTCAAGACATGCTCCAAAAATAATGAAACAATGCTCCAACAATGCTACACAAATAATGAAACAATGCTCCAATCGTTCCTAGACTACTTTTTGATTGTGGTTGAGTCTTCCTCCTGTAGAGGGACAGGCCCGGCTCAAACCCAGGCAGGGCCGTGCGGGGAGACGAGGGGGGCGGGTGGGTGGTTTTGGTGGTCGCTGCTCACGGGGAGCAAGAGACTTCTGCTCCCCGTGAGCGGCTCGCACCACTGGGCGGCGCGCCCGGGGGGGGGGGACTAAGGAGGAGCAAGCCTGCCCAGACGGCAGGGCTTCTCCGGCCTTCTGGAGAGTTTTTTGGTGCTGCTATGTTTTTCTTGTCAAGCTGAACATTTTCTTAGGGTGGAGGGCTCAGGGAGAGATCCGTATATCCTTTTTGCACCTCGAGAATCAATCCGTCTCGTGTTTCGCCTTTTGCAGAGTCAAGCCTCGAAGATCCATCGAAACGGCGTTTCAGATTTCACCCTTTGCCCTCCACCCAAAGAGCATGCTCGGCCCTAGGATAAGGCTTAGAACATTTCTCAGAAGGCCGGATGCCTTCCGAGACTTCTCAGAAGGCCCGCCCCTTCTCACTCTCCCCAACGGGCTCGCCGCCGAACCATGACCACGCGGAGGACGACGGAGACGAGGCGCATCGAAGCACGAAGCTGTGGGGGGGCGCGGGGCAGATGACGATGGGGTAAGGGAAGAATAATTCGTTTGAGGCCAACCCTCCCGACCAAGCGGCGAGCGAGCCTGTCGCCAACTGGAGGTGGCCTGCGCAGAAGCACGCCCAGCATAGCTCAAACACGACAAGACGTGTCCGAATCAATCGTGGCATTCGCCGTTTTAAGACGCCGCCAGCGTTGCAACTCAGGCCAAAGATTGGTGTGCGAGCCGGCCTTGAGGGCATCGCACTCTCTGCCGAAGTTGGCCGGCGGCCCCCCCGGCGTCAACTAACCGCGGAGGGGGCAGGAGGAGCGGACCGCCCGCAGTCAAGCTGCGAGCAGGGTTCTGCACTCAGTCGTTGAGCCTGCCCTTCGCGGCCGCAAAGCAAGAGAAGAAGGAGGAGAAAGAGGAGGAGGAGGAGGAGGAGGAGGAGGAGGAGGAGGAGGAGGAGGAGGAGGAGGAGAGGAGAAGAATTGGAGGAGGAGGAGGGAGGAGGAGGAGGAGGAGGAGGAGGAGGAGGAGGAGGAGGAGAAGGAAGAAGAGGAGGGAAGGAGAGGGGAGGCGATGAGGGGGAGGAGGGGAGGAGGAGGAGGAGGAGACGGAGGAGGAGGAGGAGGAGGAGGAGGAGGAGGGGGAGGAGGAGGAGGAGGAGGGGAGGAGGAGGGGGAGGAGGAGGAAAAGGAGGGGAGGAGGAGGCGGGGGAGATGAGGGGGAAGGAAGGAGGAGGAAGAGGAGGAGGTGGAGGGAGAAATGAAGCGAGGGGGAGAGGAGGAAAGAGAGAGAGAGAACAAGGAGCAGGAGGAAGAAGAGGAGCAGGGGAGGAGAGGAGCAGGAGGAAGAGAGAGGGAGGGGAGGAGGGGAAGGAGGAGGACGAGGAGGGAGGAGGAGGAGGAGGAGGAGGAGGAGGAGGAGGAGGAGGAGGAGAGAGGAGGAGGAGGAGGAGGAGGGGGAGGAGGGGGAGGAGGAGGAGGAGGAGGAGGTGGGGATGGGAGGAGGAGACTGAGACGGAGACGGAGACGGAGGAGGAGGAGGAGGAGGAGGAGGAGGAGGAGGAGGAGGAACGGGAGGAGGAGGAGACAAGACGGCCTTACGCTACTATTTCAAGGACCTGTACAACAAGCGTATCAACGCGTAAAAGGCCCAATGCATGGGATTTGCTATAGACGACCGCCCAAAAGGACGACACCACGGACAAGATCCTCCGCCACCTTGACGAGACGCACGCTGGCATGCGACCAGAACAACAGCCTGGTTCAGAGCCAGCCTTACCATCCGGCTGTGCGGCTCCATTACTACATGCCCTGGGAACCCGGCAAGGACGACTACGTCACGCTCGATTGACACAGGCCCCCCCTACTATCGGTGGCATCAAAAAGGCCAGTGCGGCCAAATTGTTCCGGCATCGATGCGATTCGGAGCTCCAACAGCATATGCACATGGAGGTTCACTACGCGAGGTACAACAGTGAGAAACGCGACCTGGACAACAAACTCAAATTACAGTCCACACCTACCTTCTCAGGCGGTACCAAATACTTCGCGGACCTCCTGGACTCTCATGGCAATCCCAGTACGCATGTGTGCTACATCAACTACGGCCACAATCCCAGACATGTACTACTCACAAACGCCCACAGAAGCCCCAGTACGGACATGCCAAGCGGGGGCGCGCCACTATTGATGCTGTCTAGTACGCAGTGCATACAAGATAAACAAGGTGGTACATCGTTGCTGGCAAATGTTGGTACATCGTGACTGACTTGGACAGCTCCTACCTCTGAGTGGTCCCGCCACTCTCCCCACTTTCCCCTTCCACGTGATTATCGTGAGGAAAAGCAGGTGGCCTCCCAGCCCCCGCCCGCCCTCCCCCTCGGCTGCGGACCCCTGGGGGCGTCCGCAAGGCCCCACGCTCGCGCGGAGCGGCCAGCCGCCCGCGGCCGCCCGCGCGATGCGACACACACACACACACATACACACATAGACATACAGAGAGAGAGAGAGAGAACAAACAAAAGAAAGAAAGAAAGAGAGAACAAACAAAACAAAGATGGAGGAGGAGGAGGAGGAGGGAAGAGAAGAAGGAGGAGGAGGAGGAGGAGGAGGAGGAGAAGGAAGAGGTGGAGGAGGAGAATGAGGAAGAAGGGGGGAGGAGCGGGGGGAGGAGGTGGAAGAGGACCGGGGGGAAGAGGCGAGGACGAGGAGGAGAGGAGGAGGGGGGGAGGGGAAGCAGGAGAAGGAGGAAGAGGAGGAGGAGGAGGAGGAAGAGAAGGAGAGGAAGGAGGAGAAGGAGGAGGAGGAAGAGGAGCAGGGGAGGAGGAGGAGGATGAAGGAAGAGGAGAGGAGGAGGAGGAGGAGGAGAAGGAGGAGGAGGAGGGAGGAGGAAGGGGAGGGGAGGGGTATGATGATGATGGATGATGATGATGATGATGATGATATGATGATGATGATGATGAGATTGATGATGATGAGGGAGAGGATGAGGATGAGGAGGAGAGGAGGAGGAGGGAGGAGGAGGAGGAGGAGGAGGGAGAGGAGGAGAAGCAGAAGGAGCGGGAGGAGGCCGAGGAGCGGGAGGGGGGGCGGAGGCGCGCGGCGACGCCCCGCGCCTTCGTCGCGAAGCCGAGGTCCTCCGCGGTTCGGGCGAGCTTGTGCTCGTCCTGCGCGGCGCGGCGCCGCGTGGCCGCATCGGGGGGGGGGCCCCGCCCATCGAGGGCCTCGGTGCGGAAGGGCGGCGATGGCCTCGCGGCGCCCCGGACTCCCCTCCCCTCCCCCCTCCTCTCCCCCTCCTCCTCCTCCTTCTCCCCCATGCCACTCCTCCTACTCCCTCCTCCTCCCCCTCCTCCTCCTCCTCTCTTCCTTCTCCTCCTCCTCCCTCCTCCTCCTCCTCCCTCCTCCTCCTCCTTGTCCCTCCTCCTCCTCCTCCTCATCATCATCTTCCGTCCTCCCGTCGGTGAAGCGTCGACCACTGCTCTCCATCAGTGAGCAACGCCTCCCCTGGGTCCGGGAAGGGAGGGGGGGGGCGCGGGGCGCCGGAGCGCCCAAATGGCCCAAGATGGCTCTGAGCAGGCCCCAGGCAGCCGAAACGGACCCTCGAGACAGCGCAACGGTTGAGTCGGCGCCCCCGATCAGCAACAAACGGGCCCCTTAACCCTTTGGGAGCGGACTGACAGTAAGAGGCCCAGAACCTTAGGGATGAGGGGCATGTTCTGCAGATGTAGCAAGCCAAACCACCCAGGCTGATGATCCCTGCTGTACAAGCGGGGAACTGAGTGAGGCCACGTCTTCCTTTTCGTTATCCCCCCGGACGTGGTCGCGCGCGGCGGGGTGCTCGCGGAGAAGTTCTTATTGATGAGCTGGCAGCTGTCGCGAGCCACTGGAACCAAAATTGCTGCTCCGCGCCTCTACCTTCGCGAAAACAAGACAACGGAACGCGAGGCTCGAGGAACCCCGCTGGTCGCGCGAGCACCGCCCCTTGCTTTGAAAACGATACGATCAACCCAGGCGGCGACCCCGGGAACCCGCCCAACGGGCCTCTCGTATAAAAAGGCCGCGCGCGCCGCGGTCTCTAGGGGGAAAACAAACCTACCTCGCTTTTGACCACCCTCGCTTCCAAGAGATACCAAACGACGCCAAACTACGGCCTGCGCTGGTCAGGCCGCTTGACGAGGAGGCGCGTGGTATGACTTGGTTTTGCCTGGAAGCGATAGCGGGGTAGGTAGTTCACGCTCTGAGTCTCGGACGTCCAGTGGCGGTGCCGGCCCCGACAGATCAACGGCCCAGGCCCTCGGTCTCGGAGATCCCGGCCGCTTCGAACACGGCGCGTGCTGCGTCGCAGCACGGGCGCAGCGGGGCAGCGGAGCACCGGCGTGGACATCCAGGAGGAGGAGGAGGAGGAGGAGGAGGAGGAGGAGGAGGAGGAGGAGGAGGTAGGAGGAGGGGGAGGAGGAGGAGGAGGAGGAGGAGGAGGAGGAGGAGGAGGAGGAGGCGCCGGCCCCGACAGATCAACGGCCCAGGCCCTGCAGCGTCGATCATCGCCAGGGCGGCGACCTTTCAGAGCGCCATGGTTCGCGCTCGACGCTGCACGGGCTGTGCTCTTCGGGGCGCTCTCCGGGGCGGCCCGCTTCTGCCCTGCAGTTGTCACGGCTCCTGCCCAAAGCCTTGAGCCACCGGCCACGCCTTCCTTGTCTTGTTAGGGTTCGGGTGTTTTCTCGGTAGAGGTATGAATAGCGGTACTCTTTCCCCTCTGAGAATATGTACGGACATGGTACGCCATTCTCCTCCCTGCTGCTGCTGCTGCTGCTGCTGCTGCTGCTGCTGCTGCTGCTGCTGGTGATGTACTGTTCCTGCAGCTCCTCCTGCTGCCGCTGCAGCCAGCCCCGCCCCCCTCGGCACTGCCCCCGTATCGCTCTCCCTGCCGCTGCCGCTGGTCCGCGCGGACTTCTTGGATCGGCTCCGGACCCCCATCTCATCCCTGGCGCGCGGAGGGCTGCGCCAGAGGCGCCGACAAGGGGGCCCATCGCCGATCCAAGAAGTTCCGCGCGGACTCGCGAGCTGATGTTCATGTAATGTGTGATCTGTCGCTCTTCCCCTGCTTCCGCTGCGGCAGCTCCGTGTCGAGACGTCTTGCGCAGTGGCTTCTGCCACGACGTGGATGACTCAGAGTTTGACGTGCGCGGCTTTCCCGCAACGCGGATCGCTCGATGTCGGCCGATTCCATGACGCTGGCGGCGTTCAACCTCGAACACCCGCGCTGGAGTCGCCGCCAAGTCGGCACGGCGCGAGCCGGTCGTACTCCTCCTCAAGAGACCTTCGCACCGGTCTCCGCGTAGTGTTGAAGACCTGGAAATTGGCACCAGCATCAACACGGAGGGCTGCCTCCACAGGGGGAAGATGATCCTCGATTTCGGTGCTGGGATCTCCTTCCCGAGATCACCATCGCCGAGATCGGGAAGATGACAACCACAGGGGGAAGATGGCCACCATCGCCGAGATCGGGATCTCTTTCCCTCGGTGGAGGCACACCGCCGATATTGGTGTTGGTGTCAACATCTAGGCCTGCGATATTGACCTGGAGCAGTCACCGACGCCGCGAATTTGGGATCGCGGCTTGAAGCTTGAGCGACGCAGCTCGCACGTGGGGCCAAGTTGGCGGGCACCTGCAAGCCTCTCCTCTCTCCCTCCGGCTCCGCCTCCGCCCGTTGACCAGACGTGAAGAACGAGCTTGCTGCGTCGGAGAAAGTCAACCAACAGTGCACCCGAATGCTGACCTGGCGGAGCAGGAGGTGCGAAGAGGCACAGAAAAGTAGAGACGCCCGAGAGGGCATAGAGTATTAGATCTGCAGGCGTCAGCAAGGTGTTCCCCTCCCGCCGTTCCCCAACAGCATCCCACATACCCCCGATCCTTCCATGGCAAGGGCCCTCATCGAGGGCGGTTTGCGCCCTCCCTGAGGGCAGCGAAGAAGCTGGCTCCGCCTCCGCCTCCGCCTCCTCCCCCTCCTCCCCCTCCTCCTCCTCCTCCTCCTCCTCCTCCACCTCCTCCTCCTCCTCCTCCTCCTCCTCCTCCTCCTCCCTTTCTCCTCATCCTTACAGGCTGCAAACGCGCCTAACAGACGAACTGCTTCATGCTTGAAGTTCTCAAAACCTCCTCCTCCTCCTCCTCCTCCTCCTCCTCCCCCTCCTCCTCCTCCTCTTCCTCCTCCCTTTCTCCTCATCCTCACAGGCTGCAAACGCGCTCGACAGACGCACTGCTTCGTGCTCGAAGTTCTGGAAAAAAAGCCACGCCCGCCACCTCCCTTTCATATGGAGATGATATGGCGCTCCTATGGACCCCCTTATAGAGCCCTCCATCATCCGTATGGAGATGATATGGCGCTCCTATGGACCCCCTTATAGAGCCCTCCATCATCCGTATGGAGATGATATGGCGCTCCTATGGACCCCCTTATAGAGCGCTCATCCCTCTCCTCCATCATCATCACCATCATCAGCTCTGGCTCTGCCTCCCAGCCCGCCTCCGCGGACCCCCCCTATATATAGAGCCCCCTGCTGGGGCCCTCCCCGAAGCCTGCCCCGCCGCTCCTCCCTCCCTTCCTGCCTGCCGTCCACGCGCCCCCCTCTCCGTCGCGGCTCCCTCTTGCCTCCTCTCCCTCCTCCTTCCTCCCTCCTCTCCCTCCCTCCCTCCTTTCCCTCCGTCCCTCCCTCCTTTCCCTCTTCCCTCCTCTCCCTCCTCCTTCCTCCCTCCTTTCCCTCCTCTCCCTCCTTTCCCTCCTTCCCTCCTCTCCCTCCTTTCCATCCCTCCGTTCCCTCCTCTCCCTTTTTCTTCTCCTCTTCCCTCCTCTCGCTCGTGAACCCCAAGCCGCCTTGGACCCCTCAGGAAATCGAGGCTCCCCCCCGGAGCCCCTGCCTCACAGCCTCACCCACTCCGCCCCCCCTCGCCGCTCCTTCCCCGGACTCCGAATGCTCGCTGTGTTCGGGTCTCCGGCCCCCGGAGCTGCGGCAGAAGGACACAATCAGTGGACCCCCACCGCTCCCCTAACATCGAGGCTGGCACGCGCGGGGAAGACTGCGGCCGAAATGCAGCTCGTTCAACCCATCGCCAACATTGAGCACTGGGGGGGGGGCATGAACAGATGAATGCGGCATGAGTGTTCGCTAATTTCTTCCGAAGCCTGTATCGCCCCTTCGCCCTGGTACGATTCTCAACGTAGACTTGCTCCTGGTCGGCCAATGGGGCCGGAAAGTTCCCTGATCGCCAAGGACGGGAAGGAGGGAGGACGGGAAGGAGGGAGATGAGGAGAAGGAGGAGGAGGATGACCAGCGTAAACCCAAGACTTATCAACGATGGCGGAATCCACCCTCCATCCAAGCTCCCTCTTCATAGGCTCCTGCAGCAATTCATTTTCACTGAAGGAAGTGCCCCGTTGGATAATCACCATTTGGAAATCCAGGACGGTGCCAACGCAACATTCCTGGGACTTCAACGCCGCAAATATCCGTTACTGTTGCGCCTCGACGATCCTGAATCGTGCCAGAACGCTATTCCTGGGACCTCAGCACTGATAATCAAAAGGACTGTTGCGCCCTGACAATCCAGAATCGCTGCAAAACACAAGTTCGAATATGAACCTCCTTGCAAACTGTTCAAACGAATGTGCGCGGCTCTAACGCGAGAACCGCATATTGAAAAAAGGAGCCGCCCTGAATCCGTGAAACTCGTGCAAATGGCGAAAGCGAAAACCACATGTTGAAATGGAGCCGCCCCCAAAGCGTGAAGAACTTGCCAATTTGCACAAGGAACGTGTGCGGCGCGACGGCGATGGCTGCATTTTGAACACGGCCTGCCGTGAATCCGTGAACCCTTGCAAAAAATTGAAACGAATGTGCGCGGCGCGACCCGCCCTCAACCCGTGAACTCATGCAAATGTCTATTAAAACGAATGTGCGCGGCGCTACTGCGTGAGCCAGATTTTGGAGACGGCCATGCACCGCTTTAGAACGAATGCGGGCGGCACTAAAGCGAGAACCTCGTTTGAACACGATCCGCCATCAATCCGTGAAAGCCATGCAAGCCGTAAAAACCAATGTTCGCGGCGCTAGGGCGAGAGCCACGATTTGAAAATGGCCTGTCCCCAATCCGTCAAAGTCTTGCAAATGTCTTAGCGGCGTTTAGTCGAGAACCACATTTTGAGTGCGGCCCGCCCGCCCTCCATATGTTTGGCTGTTGTCACTTTTACGCTTGTGGCTCATGAGTGGCATACAGGTCTGTCTCAAGTAAAACGCCTGGCCCGCCCTTCCAACTGGCTTCGGGGTACGGAAGGGATGAGCTATTCATCAGAATAAGGAACGGAGACAGAGGACCACTTTTTAAACCCAAGACTCAGCAATGATGGTGGGATGCACCCTCACTCCAAGCTCCGTCTTCATAGGCTCCTACAAAGACTCATTTTCACTTGAGGAAGGGCCCGTTGAATGAATCCTGAACGGCGCCGGGACACCATTCCTGAGAGTTCAGCGACACGAATCACCGTTACTGTTGCGCCTGGATGTTCCTGAATGACGTCATAGCACCGTTCCTTGGACCGTTCCTTGGATTTCATCACTTTTCATTAACATAACTGCTGCGCTTAGGCAATGGAATCACATCACTTCTGGTACGATATCCATGGGCACTCGTGTAACCCTTGACAATGCCAAACACGAGTGCGCGCGGCGCTAACGCAAGAACATCATCTTCAAAAAAGGCACCGTCATGAATCCGTGAAACTCTTGCAACATTACAAACGAATGAGCGCGGCGCGAAAGCGAGAACCACATGTTGGACAAGACCCGTTCCATCCGTGAAGTTCTTGCAATGTTAAAATAAACGAATATGCGCGGCGCGAGGGCGAGAGCCACGTTTTGAACACGGCCCGCTGTCAATCCATGAAACTCTTGCAAATATTTGAAACGAGTGCGCGCGGCGCTAATGCGAGAAACACCTTTTAAGAACAACATGTCCTCTTCTCAACCCGCGAAGTTCTTGATTTTTGTTGGAAAGTAAGTGTGCGGCGCTGAAGCGAAAACGACATTTTGAAAGCGACCCTTCCATTCACGTGTGGATCTATTGCAATTTCCAAGCTTCAAGGATACGAAAGTAAGAACATTTCAAGCGAAACGCCCAACCCACCTTTCCGACCGGCCTCGGGGTGCGCCTAGGAAGAATTATTGAGGAGAGAAAGAAATGGAGGAGGAGGAGGAGGAGGAGGAGGAGGAGGAGATGGAGAGCCCCCTGCCCCCCACCCCTCCCCCGGAGGCCCCGAAGCACGTCTGGCGCGGCATCTTCTGGGGCAGCCAGACGGCACGGAGGCCTGGGCCCTTCCCCTCCCCTGGCACCCCGCCTCCACTCAGGAGAGGAAAAAACACACAGACACAATTAATCCTCGATTCCCCAGAAAATATGGGAAAATATGGGAATTGGGCGGGAAGACAAAAACCCAGAAAATATAGGAAAATATGGGGAATCATTTTATTTGTGTATTTATTTGTGTGTCCTTGGGCCCCTTGATCCACTGCCCCTTTCGGCCCGCCCCCTGCGCGCCGGAGAGTGGGAGCCACCCATCACGCCGATCTCTGCGACGCCCGCCTTAGGGGGAGGGCGGCGGACGACGACGGAGGGAGGACGGCAAGGACACGTGGATCCAGATGATGTTGCCACTGCGCCTTGATTGTAGATCGCTCGCGCACTGCTGCCATCTAGGTCTCATGAGCGGACTGACGAGCCCCACAGGCGGAACAAGTCTCAGCGTAAGAAAGGTCTTTTGCCTATTGAGACTGCCGCGTCGAAACAAGATCATGTGGAGGACGAGGGGAATGGAGGTGTATCCCACGTCTCAGGCTTCGCTCGTCCCGTTTTGCGTTGAGAAATCTCGCCTCCGTGGCGCCAGACCCGCCGGCGACGCCTGCCGACTGCCTGGGCCCAGCATAAGCATGCTGCCTTCAACCTACTTGATGACGGCCTACCTTCCGGGAGGGGCCGTGCCCTGCACTTTGGCAACCTGCACTGGCCGCTCACCTTCCACTGCACCGGATGCCCGTGCATCAGGCAGCCCGCGCACGCCTCGGGGCGAGGATCCTCTACGCCGGTTGCGCAGGGGACCGACCTATCAAGCATCCCTATGGGCCTACCAGGAGGATGTTCGCAGAGCCGAGAATTTCCCTAAAAACAGGAACTGCTCTTAGAACATAAGGCCGAGGGATGAAACCATGCGGTCTCGGCCTTACCCGTTCTCCTAACACTCCGCGCGAGCCACCGACGGTCCTTGGAACGCTCTTTGGTGGGGCTGCAGGCAAGCCAGGACGCCTCGCCCCTGCTTGCGCCTGAGGCCTACCCCCGCGTTCCCCCCTGCGCGGCCGCCCTCCTCTTTGCACTTGTCCGGTGTGCCTCTGCCCCGCGCGGCCTGCCAGCGGGACGACCGCGCCAGCGTCAGCCTTCGCCTCGGACCAAACAACAGACGCTGCTGGGGAGGGGCAGGGGAAGAGGGAGGAGGAGGAGGAGGAGGAGGAGGAGGAGGAGGAGGAGGAGGAGGAAAACGAGGGAGGGGGAGGAGGAGGAGGAGGAGGAGGAGGAGGAGGAGGAGGAGGAGGAGGAGGAGGAGGAGGAAGAGGAGGGGAGGAGGAGGAGGAGGAGGAGGAGGATCGGTGAGGGGAAGGAGGAGGATGGGGGAGGGGGAGGAGGAAGAGGAGAAGGAAGGGGAGGAGAAGGAGGAGGAGGAGGATGGGGGAGGGGGAGGAGGACGAGGAGGAGGAGGAGGAGGAGGACGGGGAGGAGGAGGAGGAGGAGGATGGGGGAAGGGGAGGAGGAGGAGGAGGAGGAGGAGGAGGAGGACGAGGAGAAGGATGAGGAGGACGACGACCAGTGTAAACCCAAGAGTCATCAACGATGTTGGGATTAGCCCTCCCTCCAAACTCCCTCTTAATAAGCCCCTACAACGTTTCCTTTCTATTGAGGGAACTGCCTCGTTGGAAGACAACCGTGTGGAGATCACATTGATCTCTGGATTCCAACGCCACGTATCAATATGACTGCTGCGTCTTGACGTTCCGGAATCGTGCCAGAACGCCACTTGTGGGACCTCAACACAGCGCATCAACATAATTGTTGCACCCGCATAATCCTAAATACTTCAATGACATCATTTCTGGTACGATGATCATGGGAATTCGTGAAACTCCTGCACATGTTGGAAACGAGTGTGCACGGCGCTAGAGCGACATCCACATTTTGAAAACGACCCGCCCTCAATCCGTGAAGCTCTTACAAATGTTGAAACACTAATGTGCGCGGCGCTAAGGCGACGACCACACTTTGAAAACCACCCGCCCTCAATCCGTGAATCTTTAGCAAATGTTGAAAACGAATGTGCGCGGCGCTCAGGCGAGAACGACATGTTGAAAACCACCCGCCCTCAATCCGTGAAGTTTTTTTTTTAGTTTTATAAAAAAAAAAAAAAAAGCGAATGCGCGCGGCGCTAAAAGCGACAACCACATGTTGAAAACCACCCGCCCTCAATCCGTGAAGCGCTTGCAAAGTTTAAGGGCGGACGTGCGCCGCGCTAGGCGACAGCCAAATTTTGAAAAGCACCCGCCCTCAACCTGTGCAACTTGACATCTAAGGCGCAACTGCCATAAGCCTCAGAACCATAAATGCCGAGGAAGTCTCAGGCGATACGCCTGGCTCGACCTAAAAACTGGCCTCGGGGTGCGACAGGGAACAACTATCTACAAG